GCTTATTTTAAAGTGAAAATTGATGATAATCAAAAATACATACATAAGCAATCGGCTTGTTGGTTGTTAACTGATCAAAATATGCGTTTGTCAAATGATCGGCTATCTAGAGTTATCCAGACAAGTCGCAAAGATAATAATAGCCTCTTCTAATTTATTGTTCAGATTGCATTTTTTCCTAAAAATAAATTTGAAGGAACTTATAAATACATTCATGTACTTCTCTATACTTTTTGGTATTTCTCTGTACTTCTCGATACTTCTTGTACTTCTCGTACTTCAGAAGTACAGAAGTACGCTTGTTCCCCCTTGCAATATGTACAATTTCATTATATATTTTTTACAATTCTTTCGAATCTATCACCACCGCTACTGATAATTGTATTTGGCTTACTTACATTAAAAAATGTTTGACATCAACGACGACAAATACATGCCACAAACAATAATAATAATCATCAATCATATCGTCGACGTGATAATCAAATGATTCGCATGACGTTATATCAAGCATTTTTCTATGTTTTATTTGTATCACCTTCGGCTCTCATTTCCACATTTAATGCATTTAATACATCAACAACGGTTACACTATTTTTACAGTAGACATTTATTATCGTTTCATTTAATAATTTTATTTTATCATTCTTTATCAATACATTATCAGCTACCGTATATCGGCGAGAATTTTTAAAACAATTAATTTTTATATCTAAAAAATTATGTCGATCAATGTGGATTGAAAGACGATTTATACATCGTCAGCAAAACTAACGACAAACGAAATAAACTATGAGAGCTCAGCAACAAACAACGATTACAACGTAATACTGTCCTGTTGTAACTGTGGAAGAGATTATATGAATATTTTATTTAATATATTAATAAAGAAAAAACTGTAAATAAGTGAATAACTTAATTACTATTTTGGACCAACGGCTGAAGACCTCTTTTTTGTAATTTTAAGTAGTCCAATCCGGGGATATATCAAACCTCGAAAAATTGTTTATTTTCAATATTTGAAATCTTTGAACTCTGTCGAGCTTTTATAGCTGACTTAAGCAGTTTTCTCTGTTCTACCTGAAACTAGTGTTTGAACTGATTATATTCAGTAAAAATATGACAAGTTCTGTAAAGCTTGTAAAGACTGTAGAGCGTCCTCAGTTTGATTTCCAGTCGAGACATGCATTTTCTTTTCAACGTCTCTGTATCTCAAAGTCGAGGAAGTAAATATTCTTAAGTTATATAACCGATTCATTCCTTTGTCTTTTTCATCAGCCGATTTTGAAGTGAGGCCATCACATTCTACATATGGCTATCTAAAATCAGTTAAAAGTCATTTTCATTTTTTAGTCTATTGTCGGAGTTAACACCTATGCCGATTTTTAAAAACCCATTCTTCGACCTCATTGCCGGTACTCGACTCCGGGATTTTTATATATCCATTCTCGGACAGGACGGCCGGAGTTCACTCCGTCAATAGACTAAAAAATGAAAATCACTTTTAGCCGACTGTCATATATCCATCATTGTTGTACAAACATCATTGTTTAGACGATAACTGTACTCCGCAAACTTCAGATTAACATAAAACTTCTACTAGCTCTACCCCACCTTTCTTTGCAAGGTTATAGAATTTACAAAAAAAGCCCTAAATTGATTTTCTCCCAAAAAAGTATTTTCTTGATAACGAACCATGACACATCAAGTTCTTCTGGACGTCTGGAGAACGCATGAACTTCTGGAGAGGAACCACCTACTTCGTCAGCGGGGAGTTCTTATGGAGAAAGATCTATTCCTTCACGAGGAAGCTTGAAGTGGTAGTTGAGCTAGATCAACTTGTTCACGAGAAAACACTATGTTCTGGTAGTGAAACAAGGATTTTTTCACGAGAACACATGAAGTTCTTGAAAATGTCAAAAAATTGAAGGCCTAAGAAAGTTTCGTAGGCCTTCATGTCGACTGCATGTCTTTCTACGAAATATCGGATGTTATCGTGCAGTGATTTGTCAAAAATGGTTAGAAATTTTTATTCATGCTGCATTAGAAGACTTTACAGCGGAAAATCGTGGTGGAAAACATGTTAGTATTGTTTACAAATACTTTCCCGAAATAGAAATGGATGCAAAGGCCTTTGCTACCCAAAAATGTCAACAAAAGTCAGCTGCCTTTAACGTCACAGACCTTGCTCAATTTATCGATTCAAAATTCTACGAACTGACAGGACAGACCAAAGATCCAGATGCTGGATTAATTCTATCAGAAAGCAGCTGTCGTATCTAGGCTTGTACCAATACCAAAACTCTTGGGTATTGGCATTGAAGGTATTGATAGGTATTGGTGTATTCGTAGTATTGGTATTGACAGTATTGACGGATTGGTATTGATTGGTATTGAGGTATTGGTTTTGACAGTTTTGGTGATGGTATTGAGTTATTTTTTGATCTGGATATGGTTTTTTCGACTTTCTTCAATATATTCTATTATGATGAGTAATTATATATCGAAAAAAGTAGAAAAAATCATGTCCAGATCAATAAATAACTCAATACCATCACCAAAACTGTCAAAACCAATACCGTCAATACCTCAATACCAATCCGTCAATAGTCCAATACCGTCAATACCAATACAGTCAATACCATCAATACCCACTCAATACCCAATACTCAATACCAATACTCAACACCAAGTATTGTTATTGGTACATGCCTAGTCGTATCGACCTCCGAAATTGTGGTGCAAAAATTTTTGGCAAATTCTCAGTGACTATATTTTGAAGGTCACGAACGTGCAAATGTTGTTGAATCAAGAAACGTTTTCTTGGACTATTTTTTATCGAGAAAGGCATAGTTCTACACAGTTTCGGATGGTAAAACACCTGATTGGATCTCACGCACTCAGAAACCAAAGCAAAGTTGGATTTGGATTTTTCCATGAAATTTTTGAAATACAAATGGTCATTATTTTCTACTATCAATATTAAATCCTATAACAATGGCCCTCTCACATATGGCTAGAGGAGGTACAGGGCATCATTGGTGATATCCATAAGTAACATGATCAGCTTTAGTGGAAAAAGTGTGTAGCAAATTGTCACATTCGATGTCAGTTAAGAGGAGATCAACTGAATAACCTATCGATCAAACACTGTTTTCAGTCAGCGGAAAAAACTTCAAAAAGAACTTTTGATCATTATACTTGGTCATTCAGGGAGACAAGAGGATAATCGCATCGAAAAAAGTAATCAGATGATTTATACACGCCCCTATCTTACGTGATAGTCGAATGGGCCCGCATTACCGGAGTTCGTGAATTTTCAGACGTTGGGATAATTGGCGCGCCTCGCCTCCCCAGAATTTGCGGATTCAGCCGCCTAGACAATCATATCAAATAAAAATGTTCTTAGTGAGCTTTCACGAGGGCGGTCGAAACTTCTATGTATACCTAATCCAGAAAAGCTAGAGAGCCTGCAGGGACTACAACTGCATTACATGTCTATATCTACACGCCAGTCTGCTACTCAGATAGGAACAGGCAGCTGTACAGATAGTTATATACTACTGTACTTTGCTCTGTCACCTGGAGCTCTTCTATCCTTCCCAGCTCCTCTAGCTCTTCTATCCTTCGTAGTCCTTCTATCCTTTCTAGCTCCTTTATCTTTCGTAGTCCTTCTATCCTTTCCAGCTCCTCTAGCTCTTCTATCCTTCGTAGCTCTTCTGTGCTTCCCAGCTCCTCTAGCTCTTCTATCCTTCGTAGTCCTTCTATCCTTTCTAGCTCCTCTATCTTTCGTAGTCCTTCTATCCTTCCCAGCTTCTCTAGCTCCTCTATCCTTCGTAGCTCCTCTAGCTCTTCTATCTTTCGTAGTCCTTCTATCCTTTCCAGCTCCTCTAGCTCTTCTATCCTTCGTAGTCCTTCTATCCTTTCCAGCTCCTCCAGCTCTTCTATCCTTCGTAGTCCTAGAGGAGCTGGGCTAGAGCTAGAGGCTAGAGAGCCTAGAAAGGCCCAGAAAGGCTGATGACGATGCTATGTGTACTGAAATCTGTATCTACATATCAAGGTCAAATTTACATCCCTCAATCCACCTATAGGTATATATGAGTGTATAGCTCTTCTCATCCTTCCAGCCTCTCTAGCTTCTCTAGATTAGGTATAAACTCAATGTATTGACCTCTCTGGCTTTCACCTGGTGCGCTTACACAACACGTCATACTCAGGGATAAAAGAAACGTGTTACCACGCCCATATCATTATATTACTCATACCTGTTTGTTTTTTGCATGACCGAGATTAATCGACTAGAACATTTTCTCTCCGTTCTTTCTCTCTTCTTTTTCTTCTTCTACTTATTCGTACCGACACATATTTACTTTTAGTTTATACCACTATTTTTATTTTCTATAGCACACACACACAAACAGAACACTGTTCGATGGCTACTGACACACGTGGAGCTTCTAGCGGTTACACAAACTGGTTCAAACTAGAGCTCGTTTTAGGACGTTCATCAGCTATTTTGCGACAGTTATTTAAAGATCGGTATCAACAATTCTTCGATAACCATTGGGATGACACACCGACAGCTGGTGGTACATTTTATACCAATATCATTGATAAAGGTAAAAATAAATCAAAATTCAATCTTACAACAGTTCAGAAAAGGTTAATTCAGAAGGGTAATACTAATGATTGGGATATCACCACTTTAACATCACTTCTTATAAACGTAACTAGTCCACAAATGCCTAAGAAAGCGGTTGTACAAAGGCTAAGCGAGGAAAATCGAAAAATAGCTGATATTCGTGAGATTCGTAACACACTAGCGCATCACACAACGAAACAGCTATCCAATAATGAATTCATTCAACTTTGGCACAAACTAATAGCTATATTAGTCTACTTTGGACAAAATGAAGCCGATCTTAATAAACTGAAAGATGACATTAACTTCAAATCTGCTTCTGCTTCTGATTCCTCTGTTATCGATTCTGAAAATACGAAAGAAGCATTACGTCTAAAAGACCTTGGTAATAAAGCATTCAAAGACAAAAACTTTGTTGATGCTATTGCACATTACACTGGAGCTCTCTTATTACCAAATTTGACTAATAATGAGCGTGCTATTCTCTATTCTAATCGAAGTGCTTCTCGCCTTGGATTGTGTAAAGAACTGTCATCAGAAGATGAATGTTATTGTGCACTACACGATGCTAAGGAAGCACGTAATCTTTATGCAACATGGTGGAAAGCACACTACCGTGTTGGTAAAGCATATTCTTCTTTGAACGAACATGAGAAAGCTATACTTGCATTTGAACGTGCTGAAGTACTAGACCCCTTGAATAAAGAAGTTAAAGATGCGTTAGATGATAGTCGATCGATTCATGTTCGACAACAGCGACAAGATCATCTTGATCCACGACTGAAACCACAAACCGTCAATGAACATCTAAAAGAACTACAGGAAGAAACAGGTATTGATCCAAATTATGTACGAATGTGTCACAGTCTACAGGACAAAATTGATCCAGCAAATGCAGATGTTGTACGAGGACATAAATTCTTTTTTGGAGATACACACACGAAAAAAAATGATGAAGAAGCTTTAAGGTATGATTGAATCCATTTTTAACTCGTTACTCTGCGTCGGTTAGGGAAGCCGTCAAAACTCGCATCGGTGAATTTATTCACCGGTGAATATTTTCATTTGATTGGAAACAAAATGGAGAACAGTATTATTCAATATGCCTGAGAAAAAGAATATGGAACTATCGTATAACAGAATGACGATGTATGTATATATTCTTTTCTGTATTATACTTGACTTGATGTTTTTTTCTTTCTGTGCACACTATAGAGAGAGATTAAAGCAAGAAATGGAGAAAAGAACAAATTTTATCGTTTTATCAAAAAGAAAGATTCCCTTTACTATGAAATTAGTGTTTATTCTGACAACTTCCCGGATTAAAAACTTAACAAATTTGACGGTACCCTTCCTCAGCTTTTCTGGCAGTTCGTAGTACACAACTTGTACTCTATACCATGCTATTTTTTAGAAAAAGGTACCGTTTACTTTTTGAGTTATAAGGCTGCCCATATCACAGCTGAACGTATGAAAAGTAGATGTCTACGTCAATATAAAGCTAAATGAGTTTTCAGAGATCTTTCTGAACTACTATGGTTTCCGGCTTTCTCTTCGGACCATGGTAGTCAGAGATAATGCATGTAAAACAGAAATACAAATGGTTAAAAGGCTGCTATTATCCATAGTCAGTATCTTCTTGAAACAGAGCTATTGATAATCAATGAATAAGAGTGTCAAATGATGAACAATAACTACTCATCCATTACCGTTATATTCTTAATTGCATAACAAAATATTCATGTCGATAAAATCCACGCACTAGTTCAGTTAGATGAAACTTTGATGTTTTCTTCTTTCTATGCATACTATAGAGACACAGATATAAAGCAAAAAATGGAGAAAAGAACAAATTTTATCGTTTTACCCAAAAGAAAGATTCTCTTCACTATGAAATTAGTGTTTATTCTAGCAACTTCCGAGATTAAAAC